TTTTGCATATCGATCAGTTCAAATAGTACACACTACGTTTACCTTTTAGTATTGTTTATCTAATTTACAGTTAGGCCTTAATATTTACTATTAGTTTTTTTTTTGTTCATTCTGTTCTTTATTTCTCTTTCTTTTTTTTTTTTTGCCGAACTGCTACCGTTGCCATATTGATCATATTGATGACTGCATGGGCCCCATGTACAACAAACTCATTATGCCGAAGGTTCCGTAATAATATTTTGTTTCATAAGGAGAAAATTTTAAACAGGAAAGGATAAACTGAGTTTAGACTCCTAAAGTAAGGTTGGTGGTTTTCAATCTAGCAACCAAGCATCTGCTCAAGTTATCATCATAATATATTTTACCAATTTTTTAAGAAACTATATATGGTAGCGGATGACCCTTCCGGATTGGCTGATATTAAATGACCTTCTTAAATAAACGAAATTGAAATAATAGTATTACTATTATCTTAATTAAATTAAGATGATTCATAAATACAAAACGTTCTTATAACGTTTGTGAACGTTGTGGTTTGTTATGTCACAAAATAACGTCACACAACGTTGTGATAACGTTCAAACGTCGTGAGGTTGTGACATTAGGTTATAAGTACGTACATATGGTTCTACAAAATAACGTTTTTATCACCAAACTGTAACGTTATTATAACGTTCTTAGAACGTAATATTGTTAGCTGGGTAGGTAGTGGAGATGTTTTTAGTCTTGAGAAAAAATCCTATGCCGTCAATTGAATTGAACCTGGGACCCTGGGATTAAAAGACAAGCATCATAATCATCAAGCTACATCTCCACTTGATTTGAGAGGTAGATCAAGGTAGTGTAACTCTCTATGGATGTTACTAGATGAGTTCGGACTTGAATGAATGAGCCAGACACCAAGTAAGCTGGATGTTAACGGTTTTATTCTATACAAAGAGTGAGCCTCCAACAAGACGCAGCTTGGCTGATGATGATGCGGCTCGGTTATCTCCGGTAAAAGAAGATAAAGCCAGGTCACGGCACCAGTGTAACTCTCTATGGATGTTACTAGATGAGTTCGGACTTCAATGAATGAGCCAGACACCAAGTAAGCTGGATGTTAACGGTTTTATTCTATACAAAGAGTGAGCCTCCAACAAGACGAAGCTTGGCTAGTCGACGAACCCCCACGAGAGCGAGACTCCGCGGGAACATCCCATAATAGAGTCCTCGAAAGTTCAAAGATTACAGTAGGATGTTAAAAAATATAAAGGTTGTGTTTGAATAATCTGAAAGACCTCTTCATTCAAGTACATATAAACTGAATGGTCATTTTTCTTACTAATTTTATTAGGTTTCTTTATAAACCTCGTGACATATATAATATAAATGATAAGACCTATATACAATGCACAGATTTTTGCTTTTAAATTAGTATAAATGTCAACAAAAGAATATTTTTACTGATTTATATACTATAGGCCTAGTAATAATAGCCTAGGCCCTAGGTAGACCTCCCTTGGCCAATGCACATTTTTAAGAATTTATATAGGTCTAGGCCCTTCGGCGTAAGAAACGGTTTATCTTTCCGCTTTTATTTTCAATTGTTTTAAACATGAAAAGTCTAATTCTTTTAAAGGAAAAGGTGCCAAATTTTTGTGTATTTATTTCTTCCCGTTTTCTATTTTACCTATGACTTTCGATATAGGAACATAGCAACTGCGAAGAAGTCTTGGCAACGCTCTCACTTGCCAAAATGTTCTTATAAAACTTTACATAGTTTTCAATTTACCTTGCGATTGATCTCGACATGTTCCTCTTCCAATGCTACCCTTGGTTTGTACTAAAATCCAATTCCGACTTGTTAAATCAGTGAAATTTTGAGCAGTGAAAGTATATAACCAACTATGAGCTTCAAGTCTCTGTTTGGTTTGTTTGGTTGTCAATGTGAAGTTGCAATGTGCTTTTACGATGCGCACGTACTTCCAAGATACGCGAAGAACATACACCTTCCTACGGTACACGCTAGATTCATTTATTGATTTATTTATATTTCAATATTTTGTGAGGGTGGTCCATCCAGCCTCAGCTTAGGGACACTCAATAGGCCTACATAAAACAAGAAACGTGGGTATAGAAATATATTAACAACAACATTTTAAGAATTAGTGAGAAAATAAATGAAAAAAGGAATTATAACAATTATAAAAGGAGAAAAAGTTTTTAACGATATAAAATATAATAAATATAAATATTTAAAATAAATTAAATTACTATAAATTAATTAAAAACAGGAAATATAAAAAATTTTAAAAATATATAATAAATATTAATATGTAAAATAAATTACTTATAAAATAATTAAACACACAGGAAAAAGAAAAAATATGATATAAAAATGATAATTAAAAAATAACATAGTTTAAAAAATTAAAATACAGAAAAAATTAAAGGAAATACACCAAGTTTTTGACCAGCCAAAAGAGAAAGAAAGAAAAAAAAAACTAAACCAGGTAAAGGGGAAGATATTATGAAGTGAGGTTGCTAAAGCCAAGTTGTAGTTATCTGAGTAGTGTTAGCCTTTTTTAAGTGATAGGAAGCTAGATGAGTAGTTGGAGAGATTTAATAAAATTTGTATAGCTTTATTTTGAATTTGTTGAGATTTTATTGTGGCACTAACCTATAAAGAAATAGAGAATTATAAAAGGAGATAGGAAGAGTTAGTGAATGACTTAAGAGGATTAGACTATCTTTGGATAACATCAGACCAAAACAAAATTGCTTGTTTGCCCTCCTCCACCCGCCCCTAACTCCCTGAAAAAAAAAGGGAGGGGGGTGGGCGGAAAAAAAATGTGAGTGAATTTATCTTTATTTTTTGCCAGGTGCCCTACAAATTAGTCTAAAGTTAGTTGTGGGCTATTTTTATTCCATCTGATGAGTATAATCATAAAATAAATAAATAAATAAAACAATTTTTCTGCCTGCCCCTATTTATAATTTTTTTTTAAAAAGAAAGGCAAACAAACAATTTATTTTATTTGGCCTCATATATTTGTTTGTAAATAACTATAAGTTGGGATAGGAAAAATAAGTAGTAGTTATTTTTAGTTTGGTGCTGCCCGTCATACGCGAGAAGTTGGCATAGAGTTGAATTCATAACTCTATTGAGAGGAAATACGAATTACTTAAAATATAGAATTTAAACATCAGGATCAATTGATTCTCATTGAGCGCCTTTTGCTAAAATACCGAAATACAACATTAAAGAATGGTATAGGTCTATTACAATTTTTAAAAAAAATTTTTAAAAAAATTTAAAAAATTCTGGTCAAATTATGACGGACTTGGACAAAACTTTACTTTCATGAACCCTGACTCTTTTTGTTTTTGAAAAAGGCAAAATGTACCGTATTAAGAATAGCTTTATAAATTAGTGAAAATTATTCCCATTTCTCGTACAAATTTACAAGCTTTTAATGGTCAGTCGAAAAAATGTTGTGCACCATATGCATCCCTTCCCTTATTCTATTTGTAGTCTATTTTAAATTTGTAAACTACAGTTGATCAAACAAATTATAACAATATAGCCTACCTTGTTAATGAAGCCGCTATTTTTTTCTCCTTTTAGTCTTATGTTCCTTTATATCAGTGTACACACTATGAACTCACCTGCAATAAACTTCGCCTTACCTCAACCCCTTACCTCAACCCCACTTAGTTCGGTCCATAACGAAACACGATGAGAGGGATGGTGCAGTCTCGGTAGGAGCGCTGGCGTTTCTGCATTATGGCCCATAATAATTTATGGGCTATATTGAGACTATTTAATACCATTTATGAGCAGGTATACATGTATGTAGATTCTTTCAGTGTTCTTTTTTTTTTCCTCTTCCACAATTGGCGCCACAACCCAGAGGCACGTAGGTCCGTGGCCTATTGAAAGATCTACCACCACACCTCCAGTACTCTGCCATGGAGTATTTTTGAATGAAGAAACCAATTACCAAGTAATCTGGCTTTTCTTGCGGTTATAAAGCGCACGCCAAATCTCCTACCGTAGTTCAGAATCACAAGCACCACAACTGTATTGTCAAAACAACTAACAAAAGCAAAACACAACACGTACAGTACAACAGACACAACACTCGGAAAAAATAATTCGAAGTACTAGGCAAAAGCGAGTGTCCAGTAGAAAATAATGGATCAGAAATGTCCTTCAGTTCAGTTGGGAGATTATTCCAAAGTTTGGTAGCGTGACAAGGAAAAGCAAACCTTTCGATTCTCACAGGTTTCCCAGCACACCCCCCCCCCCTGCCCGACCTTTAGGATAATGTTTTTTGTGAGTGTCGACCAAATTTAACATCTGACCAACCACAACAAGGCCTTAAATCGAGCTCGTCCAAAAAAATTCACTTTCCTGTCTCACAAACACACGTATTTACATATGTTTAAGCTGCCATTTTGTGGGACCTTCTTAGCAACAAAATATTCGAGGGCCAGTGCTTAGTGGAGTAGTCCCTTATTGGCATATGGGCTAATTTATATTGGCAGTAGAGCCAGAAATTTGCCCACAGGTGGACCAACAATTCAGACAGTGGGGTCTGAACCCAGGAAATGCACAGAACCTCTAGGAACAAACAAATACCTTTATTGTTTAGGATAGCCAAAGATTTTGCTTTTAGACCACAATACTGTATTATAAACTGGCAATAAAAATAATGCTATTCAGATCAGCAAATTAATACTCTTAGCCCGCTGACAGGGGTCCATCCTCATCTGGCATTAAATAATAAGACCCAACGGCAAAACAACGCAACTGCTATTAAATTTTTGATAAGTTACGTTGTTTTACCTTGGAACAGCTTACTTAACAAGTACTGTCAATCAAGATGGACATATCACAATCTTTACAATAGGCATAGACGCGCCACATTATACATACATTATCAGATTGTGAGCACTCCTTCAAATATTACCGTACGTGATCGGAAGTGACAAAAGAGTAACAACGAAAATGATGTAATTTTATCTTCTTTAATCTGATCCTTCGGACACTAGTACATCTAAAACTGAGTGCTAGAGCTAGCACAAAATTACAATGTATGGAAGCAACCGCAGTTCTCTCCTTGCACGCGACTGTCTCGCACTGTTTCAATATCACATTATAATCACCCATGTTAATAATAGAGTTTATGTATGTAGGCTATTATCAATCCCACTATCTGGACACTTTAGTGCGATTGATAACAGACCGGAGTATTAATATTGTATTGTAATCAAAACCGTCCATTGGTACATAACAGAACATTACATCATCTGTGTTTCCCCATTTGATCGATGAAAAAACAAACAAATCTAATGCCTGAAATTTATTTTCCAAATCAGCCATGGTCTTGTCCTCCAGAGGGCGTTTGTTGGATTTTAATCACATCCAACAAGATTTGCAAAATTTTCAAAGTATTATGAGGAGAAAATATCTGTAGTAACCTTATGCTATTATATAACAGGAATTAACATTTTAAAATCGAATGAAACTATTTTAAATTTGTTATGTAACAAATTTGAAATTTGTTTAAATATAATGAAAGCATGAAAGTCCATAAGTAAAAAAAAACTCTTGCAGAGATTTATAAGATAAATAAATAACTAAAATTATAACTGTGCTATGTATGAAATGACCATGGCTGATCTGAAAAAAAAAAATCTTTATGGCTTTAACAAAACAACGGTCTTTCTTACACACACTGATTATTAACTATCGCAATACAGGCCATGTATGTCACAAAGTAATTACCTACCGATAATATCAACATCATTAATGGGTGGGGAGACATCAGACAACATTTTATTGTTCTTTAAAAAAAAAAAAAATTAACACACAAAAAATTAGTTGACTAAATGCAATATTCTCCACAGTACAATTATTACTATTATGCAAATATACACATTTTTTGCAGTAATTCTCAGTAAAGCTGACTTTATGTACAGTTTGTATAACTTCCCTCAAAAAATTCTCTAATTAAACTGAACAAAATAAAGGCCTAAAATCAACTTTGATTTGTCAAAATCAGAACATTAATTTTCTTTTTTTATCTAGTACCGGATAAAATGCCTACAATCTGTTGTATGTTGTATTTTGATATGCAACATGGGCATATTGTTTAGGTAGTGGCAAACCACCCTATGTGTACATACTATAATAAACACTTATTTTTATTTTTACTGTAGGCCTACATCTACCATGTAACACGACTTGGTCCATTTTATCAGCAAAGAAAATATCTAACGGCCGGTGATATAATTAACAGCAGGAAAATATACTAAAAAAATAGCAATGCGCAACCACATAAAATATAAAAACTGTGGTAATTTAAAAGGAAAATGAATTGTCTAATTCATTGGTTTATTATATTACTTATATTGCTTAATTAAAAAATATTAATACAAGGGTAATTATCAAGATTGTGCAGTTATATCATTAGGAATTTTAACAAAGGTGTGGTATTACTAAATTGCATTTATCAAATCCTGCTTTTCCACACTGTCATCTCCCACAAACCAACTTATACATTCAACAAATGCTACAACCATAAAATTCACCAAAATCAGGATTCAATTTTGCACAGAAAATGAAAAACATAAAAAGCTATTTTTTAACAGTTGTTTATATCCCTCATTAACCTTATTAAACTAATTTTCAAAAATATTGGAAAAATTAAAGGAGATAAGTGTTTTTTCAAAAGTTTATGGCTGGCAAGATTTGTATGGTGGGGAGGCTACTGTATGGGTATCATCTCTTTCTGTAATTTGCATACTCTACTTTGCCATGCTACTTAAAAGTTAAAATGAAATGTTGAGTTAGCTTATTTATACTGTTTTCTCAGAATGGCAACCTAAATACTGCCCTCTGTGAACTGGGCTAAAAACACCAGATCAGGTTGACTTTGATCACATTATATTTTTCTCTTGTTTATTTAATTTCTAAACCTCATTTTATTTTTAAGCTGAATACAGACATTTTTCAATTAATTGATAATATTGGAATCTGTTAATGCTTTTTATGTTATTTAATTTTTCATGAGAATATTTTTGCAACTCAACACTATTAAAATAGAATCCTCCATACTTTTTAAGATTTTTTTTTTCTCTTATCAAATAAACACATCTAGATATAGTATTTGATATTGAAATTCATTACTTTCTTTTAAAACGTATTTGTAATTCTGCAAAAAATGGGAATTAGAAGCACAGGATCCACACCAAGAAGAAAAAACATTATGACATTATTGTTTCATACAGAGAAGCATTATTATTCCAGTTGGTTTTTAGAAACTTCAGCAATAAAAATGTTTGAAGTGCGAGTATGTCACACATGGATAATAGTAGTGGGTGCATGTAGCCACAAGGAATCTTAACAGGTGCGGGATTCTGAAGTTTTTTTTTAAACAGGATTGATGAGAAGTGGCAACTTTTAAAAGACAATCATTACAATTTGTTTCAAATATATAGTAGATTCAGATTAATTGCACAACTCATATGAATATTTCCATATTTGTTACCACAGGACAAAACAGTATCCATGACAACACAGTATACCAAGACAGTAAAAAAGCAACCTCCCCCACCAAAAACCAACTTAATCCTATCTAGCAGAAGTTGAGAGGCACCTGAAAATATCATCATCATGGCTGCAATAAAATTTTCATAAAAAACGTGCAAATGAAATACAGCATTAACTCTGCACGATTACTTTATACGAACGTGGACAACACACGTCACCAAGAGCGCAAATCAGTCATTGCAAACACATTCAAGTTCATTGTACTCGGAATATATTTGATTAACTATACAGAAAAAGCCTCAACAAATATATCCAATTTAAAACCAAGTCCATCAGTAAAAAATATCTCAACAATTGGGTATATTTTTAGGCGATCAAGACGGAAAAAATTTCACCAATAAGGCTCTCTTCATCTCCAATAAGGATTAAACATCTACAACCTCAAAATTTACCATTAATTTTAATTCTGTTGAACGATGTTATTTCATTTTAATAAATGATTTTCCAATATCAAGGTAGAGTGCGAACCATGTTGGTTATATATTTACATATTGCAAATAGTTAGCATGCCTTGTCCATGGACCTACCAAGCTTTTACATTTCTGTTTTTTTTCTTAAATAGTTAAACAGAACTAAAATTAATTAAGTCTAATGAGTGCTAAAATGCAGAAAAGAGGGTGACAAACAAAATAATTAGACAAAAAAAAATTATACAAAAAAAATTATTGTAACATATAAGATCATTTTCACTTAATGTGGGAGGATGTATATATAATATATATATATTAATTTTTTATATTCAGTTTTCTTGAAATTCTTCTGTCTGGCCTTTCCTCTTTTAGTTTGGAATCGGGTTCCTTGGCTTGCGAATCAAGGGAGTTCCGACATACTGCTTAGGAATCTTGCTATATATCCTACCATCACATTTCAAGCCGACTCCAACCGAGATAAATCCAGTGGGAATTCCTGGCAATTATTATCCTAAGCTGTGCACACATATTCACCGGTAATGACAAAACCTTTTACAAGCACAGTTCATTTGATATTTTTGATGCAATGTTTTTGAAAGCAATGGATGTCCCCGATATCCTCTTGAAACGTACACCGTTGAGCGACAGTCGCGGTAATTTACAAACTTCCATCTCCCACTGGATGAGGTTTTCACTCGAACCATCCCCATTGACACAGAACACTAGGTACTTCTCCCGTTGTTCAAAGTCAATATTCAAATGTTCTAGAACTCGTTGTATCTCCATCATGATCTGTTCTGGTTCCTTAGAACTTGTCGTTTTCATGCTAAAAGTAAACCGTAACGACCTTGGCTTCACCGCATCTTCCAGTCGTTCACGCTCACTAAATGATCTACAAAGAAAAAAGTTACAATAAACCATCACAATCATAACTTGTTCGAACTAAAACAATAGACGGTCAAAATGTCACAATATAATTCTACAGTGTTATCAACAAAATTACTACTGTTACATCGTTAATGATATTAAACAAACTGTGTAATATTATTCATTATGACGTATGGTAATACACTGCACATACCATGCAATTTGGTGTCAATTTTTGTTCTAGTAGTCAACTGTTATCTATATAAATGTATTTTGTTTTCAAGGTTACATTAACCAATATTTTCACATATTTGAAATGTTAAACGTCACAAAAAAAAATGCATTAAAATTTTGTATGGACTTTGTGAACTATATTATTGCTTACATTTCCTACTAAGTTACTTACTATAATGGAAATATATAAGAATCTGAAATAACACAATTTATTTCTATAAATATTTTAATATAGGCACCTACACAAGGTAACCATCTTGAATTATTAATAATTATAAATATGATTGCATACAAAATTAAAAAATGTGAAGTTATAAATTAGAATTCTGTCTAGTTCAATGCATCAATGCCTAGCAAAATGTGAAAATCTTTGTCTAAAACTACACATTTTGGTTTGTTAAAATTTGCAGAATCAGAAATAATTGAAGTAGCTATAATCTATCAATAATTTTATACACTTGTAATCATCTATCATTATCTTTAATATAGTTATGTTAATTCTTATACTACTGTCTCTTATACACATCTAGATGTGTATAAGAGACAGATATATAGTAGATTTATATATACATACATCCAGATGCACTCACATTATTAAGACATGGTCCAGTAGCGAAGTAATATAGCAGGAGAGATAAAAAAATAAAAGAGAATGCTCATCGTTAACATATACCGAAGCACAACAACATATCTGATTATCAACAACTATGGACATGCAGTTAGTAATTCAAGTAGTAGTGGCAATTGAGTTATATTTGTCAACCACACACAGTAGTGATAAATATTTCAATCAGTAATGAGCTGTACAGTGTACATAGCTATATCCTCCTGAGTGAAATTGTTGCAGAAGGGCCATTAGTTGGTGATACATTTGTGGATATTATATATATCATGACATGTATTGTGAATAGCAATGAGCATGCATGGATGAATTAACCGGTATGTATGCACCAGCAGCATGAATTTATCTTGCATTAGTGTGTATGTACCGGTGTGAATGTACCAATAATTAATGTAAATGCGTGTACATATACCAGCATGAATATAGCGATAAGCATATCAGCATGTTCATACCATATATGGTATATGCACATCGGTATGAATATGCATATACCTGTGTGATATAACTGGTGGGTATTAATTTACAAGTACATGTGTGTGCATATTCCAATGTGAATATACCGAAAAGCATATACCATCAATGTGATTGTACTGGCGTTAGTGTATGTAACGGTATAAAATGTATAAATGTGCCTACACATACCGGAATGAATATACCGATATGCATACACAAGTGGCGGTGTGATTGGTCTATACAGGTGCGATTTCACTTGAGTGTACTATTATAAATGTACCTGTATGAGTGGTGGTATGAATGTAATTGTGTGAATGTACCAGTACGAAAGTGCTGATATGAGTACACCAGTGTCAATGTACCGGTATGAATGTACTATTATAAATGTACCAATATGAATGTGGTGATATGAATGTAATGGTGTGAAGAATGTACCAGTATGAAAGTACTGGTATGAATATACCAGTGTGAATGTACCAGTATGAATGAAGTATTATAAATGTACCAATATGAATGTGGTGATATGAATGTAATGGTGTGAAGAATGTACCAGTATGAAAGTACTGGTACGAATATACCGATGTGAATGTACCGGTATGAATGAAGTATTATAAATGTACCAATATGAATGTGGTGGTATGAATGTACCAGTATGAAAGAACTGGTATGAAAGAACTGGTGTGAATATACCGCTGTGAAGATACGCATATGGATGTACCAATATGACCATACATGTGTTTATACACTGGTATGAATATAACTATGCGTATACCGGTGTGACTGTGCTGGTGTTTATGTACTGGAAGGCATGCAATGTTGTAAACGTACCAGTATGAAAATACCAACACCTATACACCGTTGTGATTAGTATGAATTTACTAGTATAAATTTATTGGCATCATGTATCAGTGTGTATCATATGTATATAACAGGTGTGATTGTACAAGAACAAATGATTACAAACATGTACCAATATAAATTTACAGGCATGAATGTACTGGCATGGATGTATCGATATATGAAGGTACTGGTATGAATATGCTAGTATGCATGTATCTGTGAATGTATAAATCCACAGGGTTTGAATGCACCAAAATGAATATACTACTATTGTGAAGGTAATGCATGTATCAGTATGAATGTGATATTATGTATTTACCAGTAAGTATGTACCGATGTTATGGTGGTGAAATTTATTTACATTACTGATATGTTCAGTGGGATATTTACCAGTATGAAAATACCAGTGTAATGTGTTTTTTCTGGTAAATGCACTTATGTATGCAGGAATCAAGATGCCATGATTGTGCAATGATTATATATATATATATATATATATTATATATGTATCTATGAGGGTTGTGAACAACTACATATTTTTCAATATAGCTATATATTTTTAATATTAATAGTTTCTAATGTGTATAAATATAAAAGCATTAATATTAGTTTTGATTTGATTTGATTCATGTAATAATATTTGATTATAGTGTGACATGCAATAAAATATGTAAGTCGGTGTTGCAGTGTAATTAAATGCTGATAGTTATACACTAAAATATATAAGTACAATATATCAATATTAAGTGAAATATTCATTTTATATATAATAATTAAGAAACAAAACCTAAGTCATTAAATATTGTGACAATTCATGCATATATACAACATATGATATCAGAAGATATTTTCAAAGTACATAAAGCAGATAAAAGTATTATGTAAAGATCTGGTTATGGTTACACTGCTAAATACCAAACGTTAACAAAATGTGACAACACAAATATTGAAAATATATGATCGAATTGTGTTTAAAAAAGGGCGTTAAAGAAACGGTTTGGAGGCAGTAGAAAGCTGACCTGGTTCTCATTCCGACCATGGGTGCCATAACAGTGTTGCTACTGTATATTTACAGCAGAGTATGAAAGAAAAGGATTTTTATTTTATTTCAGTTATATTGTAGTATATAATTTTATAATTATTTAACTTAAGGTATAATCCAAAATATGAGGAAAAATATTTGTATAATTATCTAAAATTTAGAAGAAACAAAATATGAATATTTAAGTTAAAATATGTTACAAATGTAATGTTTCTATATTAAAATAAATACATTAAATTGAGTTGTCTTTTTAATTTTCCTTTTTTTAAAATTAATTTGTCATCAGTTTTTCTACAAAACAATTATAAAAATCATTAAAACAACTTCAACACAATTGAACACTTTTTCTCCGTAATGTTCCATTCACACTATCAAATGACTGGCATCATCAAGCCCATATTTTTTTTTGTCATAAAACTTGATAGTGTGAAAAGGGCATATACACACAGCTGAAGAAAAAAAAAATACCACTTCTAATACTGCACACACGCACACCACTGCCAAAACAAGCAACAGAGTCATACAGGCCTTTCCACAATGTTCTGCTAACAAGGAAGGTGGAGGGTAGGGTATGGGGTACAAAATACATTGCATAATTACCATTATTTTTCAGCATTTCCATAAAATAAATCACAACTGATGAAGTGGAAATCATTTTTACAAGGGAGTAGATATTGAAACTCCCTTACATTGAGCTCTACCCACTAAACAAGCTTGTGTGATTTGTCCATATATGAGCACAATGGTCTTATATCACATCCATATATGGGCATGATGATGTATCATATCTATATATGAACGTGATACCATATATGGGCATGTCATATAACCATATATGGGAATGTCATATCATATCCATATATGGGCATGATGATTTATCATACCCATATATTAACATGATAATGTCATAATATATCCATATAGGAACATGATGTCATATAACCATATATGGGCATGATGTCATATGTGAGGTCTCACCACGAAATGAGATGCATCGTTGGTGAAATTGATTGTAACCTTGTGTCGAATTTTTATTTTCATGTTCCTGTGCGTAGGCTTCGTACCAATCATTTGTTAAAAGTTCCATACTCTCGTGTTAATGTTTGAACTAATGGTATTTTTTGTCGTGTTACACTTTCTTATAATAATCTAGTTCAAATGTTTTCTAATATTGATATTTTTAATTGTAATATTTCTATTTTCAATCTTATAATAAATACCGGTTTTTAATATATTATTACAATTTTTTTTTTTTAATACTTTTTTTTTTTTTTTTTTTAAATTTTTTTTTTTAAATCTTATATATTTTTATGAATGATATTGTATATTTTTATGGCGACTTTGTTATTGGTGTTTAGATACACTGTTGAGTCTTGAATAAATAAATTAATATAATATTGAGATATTCACCAAAATAGGTCAAAAGCAACATTTTTTTGAATAACTTGATACTTATATTTTATGATTCTGTACTTTTTAAGTGAAATTGTTGGTGAAATCATATTGAGATATTCACCAATATAGGTCAAAGGCAACATTTTTACAAAATTTTTTTGTTTGTTTTTGATACTTATATTTTATGATTGTGTACTTTTTAAGTGAATTTTCTTACTAAAACAGTGCTCTC